ATACATGCTACACACAGTATATAATCGTTCATCACAAAGCTCAGTGACATAACAAGGCACCTTTTACACACGCTTCAAGTCCCTTAAGCACATATTTAACTTGAAACACAACACCATGCAACTTTCATATCATAAAATAATCAAAATGGACTTGTGAGTTAACTTATCTTGGATTATTAGGTTAAACGATATGAAGATATGTTCTATCTACTACAGTAGATGAATATATTAGGAAAAATAATGAATCCTGTACAAACATCTCATAACAAAGGATTTTTGATAACACCTCCAGAGAGGTCATGTTCAGCAATTATTTATACACTTACAATCATAAAATGAACTCACTTAATCATAAAATAATAAAAAGATAGACATTTTATGTTTATGTGCTACAATGAATGGGAAATCATACCATGTAAGCATGTCATTGTTGTTTTGACAGAGTTGTTTAGTCTAGTTCATATTATTTTTTTTCTTTCCCTCAGCTTACATAAACAGCAGCTAGCATACACAGCTTATCTTATAGGCATTGACTGTCCCTGCAGTACTTTGTCCCAGCTGTAATCCACGTGGAAAAGAGCCATAAAGTTTTAAAATAGACATAGTCTTAGTACTGTTGGCTGCATACATTCAAGAACCAGGAACCAGCAACTCTTTCCTACTATCAGCTGGGTTGTCAGGTTCACTGATCATTAGGAAATTAAGCCATTTTTCCTGGAGTTACATAAGTCAGATTCCAATGCTTCCATGTACAATGGTGTAAAAAGCAGTTTCATTATTCCATTAGCTACACCCATTTATCCTTTGATGGGTCGAGGGGGGCCGAAGCTGATAGTCAGGGTTCACCCAGGACCACTCAGGAATACGGGGGTAAAATCACTGTGTGCGTCAGCACGTGGGAAAGATATGAGGACCTGCTTGCTCAGGTACTTTGCCAATAGGTTATAAGATGTACTGAAAGAAATGGTGTCATACTTTATGTAAAACAACATGATTGTAACCATGATTGCTCACCATCCTCCCAAATGTAATGTTTTGGATTCACTTTTGTTGTTATCTTGTCACACAGTGGGAATACAAACTTTACATGTTAGATTCTTTTTAATGAAAAGGAGGACCACAAGTACAATAATGGTCACAGCAGTATGATAGAATAATGTGGACTGCATAACAAACTCTATATCATAATATATACAACATTAAGCAACATTTTGATCTACACAAAAAGTTTCTTAAACACAGCAAGAAAAAATTGTTTTGATACAATCACTATTACAGAGATATGGTAATCCATGAAACCACGCACATCCTGATCACACTTTTGTGTCAAACTGTTAAAATGTTCAAATAGATACCTGTGCCATTCAGCACAATTTTCTGGAGGACGTTACATATACACAACTCACTCACTTCCTTGTGGGATAAAAAATCCATGCATATCTTTGTTGAGCTCGGCTTTCACATATGCTCGGGCTACTTCTTTAAATGTTCTGCCATCAAGAATCAGGATGAAACAAGACTGGCCTGGGTTGGTGTTGATAACTGAGGATACGACCACACCTAGAAATGTAAAGGAAGAGGTTATTCTTGTGCAAAGCATGTCATAAATGGAATCGCATCAAATGATGGCAAAATACAGTTACCATACAGTCTCATCGATACAGATGTAATCGGTGAGGGTTCTTAGCTTTTTATCCTGGTATTATTGCCTATTTGTACTCTAGCCTATATATATATTAGCATATATATATACATGTCATACATTGGACATGCACACCACACAGTATTCTCACCATCATCCTCTGCCTCTCCATTTGGTCTGGGGATGAACACTGGCTCCAACGGCCAGCAGTTGTCCTCGCTCCAGTAAACCATCTTCTTGGTTTCTGTGTGCAACTTCGCAATCTACAGTAGATGAATATATTAGGAAAAAGAATTTAGCCTGTACAAACAGCTCATAACGAAGCATTAAAAAATAGCACTCATACTGTATAACACCTACAATACGTTACAAACTCCAATGAAGGGTAAATCACACCAATAGCAGTTATTAATAAGCATTTTTATTCGTTTTTAGTCTGATTCATTTAAGACCAAATATCTTTTTCCCACTGGTCTTATTTTTTCCCTCAGCTTACATAAACAGCAGCTAGCATACACAGCTTATCTTATAGACATTAACTGTCCCTGCAGTACTTTGTCCCAGCTGTAATCCACGTGGAAAAGAGCCATAAAATTTCACCTCAAGCGTAATATGCTTTAAACTTTATTAATTTATTGTTGAAGAAAAGGGATTTAAACACCAGGCTTGACGCAAATGTTCAAGGCCCCATCTTCCTAAAAGGAAGCACTAGCAATGAATTTCATCAGCATAATGTTAGCCTTTTCCTTTTCCACATCCTGTTTGTTATTCACTTGGGCTTAACGCCCTGTAAAATCCATATCAAAACACCATTAAAATTCAAAGAAAACTTCACTATCTCTGTAAAACAATGCTGCCAGGAACAATCTGTTTCCCAATAGCACAACATTGATAATGTCTGTTCTTCAAGAGTCTGCATGTTTCAGGTCTCTCTTGGCAAATTAGACTTTAGACCAGTTCTGTTTTGCAAAAGCCAAAATTAATCAATTGGGAATGTTACCTGTTTTGACACTGCAGATTCTTCCACACAGTTCCCGTAGACAAACTGGTGCCTCTTGCCGTTGATACCATAATTAATTCTGGGTAGTTCAAAACCTGATGGGGAAAAAAAAGTTTTGGTATTTGTATAAACAAATGAATTATTCTAAAAGAGACAATGTCAGAAATACAACTTGAATAACAATTACTTGATACATTTATGTGAGTGGCATTGGTTTTACCTTCACAGAGCACCTCTGCCTGGCACATTAGTTTGCCTTCTTTCTCCTTCACAGCACTGGCTGTTGTGTATTTGAGTTTCACCAGGTCCTCTCCAACTGCAATGCCCTGCAAAACCCAGTCAAAAAGTAAAACTTAAGCATCAGAGGAACAACATCTCTAAATTTCAGGATGAAATAAATGAAAAATGTAAAAACCTACTGGGTCTGAGTGAATGGGAAGTACAAATCTTCTGTAGTTTGGTTTGGAGTAGGAGTCATTGGAGAACCCGGGGTTTTCCTTCAACTTGTTCAGGTAAAACATATCATAAAGGCTGCTATCATTGTAGGCGATGACATCGAAGAGCACGTGACCGTCGTCCTCAAAAGCGTTCACATGATGGTAGACGATCATTGCTCCAGTGTAGTATTTCGTCTCAGTCTCTTTGCCGGTCTTTCTGTCTATCAGGTGGATCAGAGTCTGTTGAAGAAAAATAAACATTTAGAAAGACTGCACGCATTTATATAAAACATCTCTGATCTAGAGCAACCTTTACTATCAAAAGAGACATTTTTGGTAAGCCTGCAAAGTTGGTAGTAAAGGCAAACAAATCTGTACAAAAGTTCTTTACTTTGCTCAGACTTTTCATTTTTTTTTAATTTGGAATCACTTACAACAATGATAAATAAAAATGTTAGAAAAATAATTTTCCATGTAATTATTTTTTCAAAGCCACAGGAAGCCACTAGAGAGGGGCTAAAGAGCCACTGGTTTCCCAGCCCTGATCTGGAGTCCATAACAGTGGTAGACTCGTGCTAGTTCAGTGGTACGAATATAAAGCACAACATACATGACAATAATCAAAACAGACAGTAGTGGTCGGTTACTTTTTCCTCAGGGCAGAATTTCAGGCAGCTTGCCCAGTTGACCCCCCTCATGTACGCAGTGGCCATCTTGAGGATGTCCAGTTTGAAAGGCTGTTCGATTAAGATGAAGTAGTTCTCTGTCATGCCGAAACTGTGGTAGTAGCTGGGCGTGAGCAGCGAGCGGCAGGGAATTGTGCAGATCACCTCCACATTCTTCAGCGCAGGGACATTCTTGTCTTTGTCTAATGGTTCAAAGTTGAGAGCAAAAGAAAGAAACAAGAAAAGAAAACAAATAAAGAGAGAAGTTAATTAAAAAGAGACTTAAACGTGTCAAAGCATTATATAAATTTGTTGGAATATCAATGATAAATATAACAGTTAAGTTCATTATTGATAAAGGGCACTTAGGAAGTAGTAGTAATGTGATACTGTGCAACGTGTGTGTGTCTAAAAGTGTATTGTTATAAAGATGCATTTAAATAACTTGTTGCACTCATTCTATGCTAGAGACGTACTGGTTGGTTTCAAAGTTTAATGTGGCAACCATAATGATGCATATCTGACATATGAATGATTGTGTGATAATCATTAAATGCGCAAACTGGACTTTCAGGCCTACAGTGTATACTACTATTACCTATGCAACTGTGGACTGCACTGGATTCATATTCAAGGAAGGAGCCAATAGCAGCAGGCTAATCTGTTCTGGTTTGCCTATATAATCTACAAAGTCCAGCAGATAGGAAGCAAGAGTACTTTGGGGTTAGGACAGAGTAGGGAAGGTGAGGTATACATACCTTTCTCCAAAACAGCAGGGACTTTGAACACGGTGTATTTAGTCTTGCCCTTCTCTGCAATTGAAGTTCCGATGTTGTAAGTGCTGCCCTCGTTGTCATAGTGTGGATGGGATGAAACCATGTTTACCGGCAGGAATTTCATGTAGTCCACCTGCGTGAAACAATTCAGCAACCTATGAGCATCTGAAATGCGTGTTATTAGTGATCATTGGTGAGCGATCGCGATCAGCAGATGACATTACCTTGTCCTGAGTTTCCAGGGTCACAGGATCAATCTTGCGGATGTAGTTGGTTTCAGAGGTGGCATAATAGTCATTTCCGTATTTAATGACATTGCTTGCGCCGTTGTCAGTGAAGTCAGGCACTGTGTGGTTGAGAAAGGTAATCGCCCTGAGAAGAAAGAAGAAATGTTAATTTATTTTATATATATCAGAAAGAGAGGTAGGGGCCATCCAACACAGAACACCTCTCTCACACTAAAGGTTCCCTGGAAGGTGTGGGTCATTTGCAAATTCACAACAGGAAGCTAAACAGCAGGGGGTGGGGGTGTAAACTCTAAAGAACTGTGGAATGAAGGGATGCCAAACAACTATTCCAACTATAAATTTGCTAAGAAATAAAGTAAGGCTATTACATTGATACAATAAAGGGGATCCAATAATAAAAAAAATGGTCTGAACAAAGTGAAGAGTATGCTTACTTGACAATGAAGTTCTTGCTGGGGTCTGGGTATGCCATTGTCCCCATTTCTGACACAACTATCCTGTTTGCAGCCATGTTAGCTTTATAGGTGTCACTTCTAAGAAATCTGCTCCTGTGGGTCACTTCACCTATAAGGAAAAAAAAGTTTATGCATTTAGTATGGACTCCTCATTGACACTGTAACATAGCTAATATTAAAGTCACAGATTAAGTAACTTTAAAGCAAAGAAACTTATTTTATTACACCTGAACACCAGAAATACAAGACCAACCGTCTTTAAAGTTGAAGCTGTGGATAAGGGCCATCCCATCGAACCAGTGGCTGTAGCTGGTGTCCCCCACAGTAAATATGCCAGGGCCATTACGCAGCAGTGTGCCCTGCAGCCAGCTGGGAATATTCCCTACACGAGAAGAAAACGCAGAAAACCACAAAACCTTCAGCAATGAGGATTCAATTCAATTCAATTTCAATTCAGCTTTTATTTTTTGTCCTCCAAGGGGGGAATTCATAACCCTAACCCTACACTCAACAAAGAAACACGCTATCCACAATTAACAAATCTACAGAACAAAACAAAACAAAAACAAAAAACAAACAAACAATCAAATAAATAAGCCAGTGCTTCTGTTGGTCATTTTAATTGTGTACAAAAACGAAACTCGACCTACCTTTAACATCCGCCTTACAGGGCTCCGGTCTCTCCACTGCGTTCGTGGAGAAGTCTGTGGCCATGTTTCCTGTGAGAGTAGTAAAGAACAGGCGGAGGTGTCTGAATAAATACTGCAGCCCAACCCGAGGGAGGGAGGGGAGGAGGGTTAACTTATCTTTTGACCGTCCTCTGTGAAGATTTCAGTGAATCTCTGCTCACTTCGGAGAAAAAGGTTCAATAGGTTTCATAACACCAAAAAAAGTATTCCACTTCTTCCACCCAGTTCGATATGAGCCATTTCACAACAAAACAGCATCAGCCTCTTTTGTCCTTATATGAAAGAAATAGTGTAGAAGTGTTTACCCTTTTATTGCGCCTTTGGCTTTTCTTAATAAATTGCATAATCTGCAATCCACTTTAATTGGCCATCATGTTAAGTCCTTACTTGTTTTGTTGACTTGAATAGACATTATTTTCTTGATCAGCTCTGTAATTATCATGCAAAAAACACACTACTGCAAGTAGTATGATCTTAGATCTTAAGCAAGGTTATTTTATCTGCTTTGGTGATTACAAGGTTGTAATGTTGTTTTATGGTATTACATCACTTGGGGGCATGTTGAACTTATTTACCTTACGTGTTTTTTAATTGTGAAATTTTTTTTCTTGGAAGTACAGGTAGTGATAGTGACTCCTCGACAGGGCAATTAACAGTGAACTCCTACTAGCAGCAGGTTGTGTATCTTCTACAATCTCTCTGTTGAGGTGGGGCCTATTTGTTTCCTAAAATAATAAGCATAACCGTAACATAAACCTGCTCTGAAATGACATAACTATGTTATATGTATTATGTCACTTCTTATCTATAGCCCACTTTTTGCTGAAGGGATGATCCAGTTTTCTCTTCAATGGCATTCAAGTTCCATCAAATCTCAGATTGTTTGAAATAATAGTTATTCTATTATCAGAGATAAAAGACATAATTGTACTACTATTTGAATTAAAGGCTTATGAGGCTCGTTAACATTCAAAGAGTAAAATAATATATGTCTGTGTGTTTGTTTGTCCACAGGTAGATAAGGGAGACTTGAGAAACCACACCAGCATCTGCTCTGATAATGATTCTGTACTTTGATCACATTGTGGAGCAGGGGCCGAAATACAGTACAGTGCAGGCAGTGCAGTTGCACTGGCGCCCATGGGGTGGAGGGGCCCACAGAGAGAACAGGCCCTCCAATGATGTCTTAGATGGAGAAAGGGTCCTTTGCGAGTAATTCAGATTACTACCTACATGATAAAAGAACCCACGTTAAATTTAAAGTAGTGCCATTTGCACTTTTTAAATTTGCAATATATGGACACAGTCTCTCTGGGAGGTCACCCATAAGTTTCTGAAGAGCCAGTGTGAAGCTCCCAACTAATCCAAAAATGAGCAGAGACTTGTAGAGTGGCCAGCCACCAATGACGGCACACATCTGTCACTCAAAGCGGGCATGCTCTTAATTAGGCTTGAGGCTACTTTAAGCATTAATATAATATTTTATAAAATATCACCCCCCAGGCAGTTGTCATGAATGGGGAAATTATGTCATTGACTAAATAGTCTCTCACTTAAAAGTACCTCAAACTCAGTGCCTTAGTAGCTGAATAGTTACAGTGCGTGCTGCATGGTTGCAACTGTCGCTGGTTTGATCCCAACTGGTGACCTTTATTGCATGACATATCCCTCTCTGTACCAATTTCTAGTCCGCCTCTTCAGCTGTTACTATCAAAGGAAGGCAAAAATCCAAATCAAAAATCAGTTAAATGAGGCCTATAGACTTATGTTTGTTAAAGGATTTTCACAATTTTTCTGTGTTTATTTGTCTCTGTTAAGTCAGACATGCAGTACAGTGCCTACAGATACTACATCTCAAGTGAAATGCTGTCCTCTAGTGGCTCTGTTGACCTGTTATGGTAGTGAAAACATGGAAATTGACATTCAGTTGGTTATATATAATTGGTTAATTGTCACAAAAATAAAATAATTGTTACTCTGGACATTAAAAATGAAGCACTTTTACTAACACTAAGATATTTGCACCATTACTAACTGAAAGCTGAACCTGTGAACTAAAAATAAAGTAGCAAACTCAGATTATTTGACAAGACTGCCCTGCTATTACCACAAGAGGGCAGAAATTGTAATATTTACTAATGAATGCGTCATAATTATTTGTCAACTAAAACATTTTTGTGTTCGTTTAGTGTAATTTACTTTAATTTGCATTTTGGAAAATGAATAAACTTTGTGAAAACAGCCATAAAATTGACAAAGTAAAACTCACTCCTAATATTTATTGACACTGAAATATATTGCTTTATTATCGATGCAAATTGTGCAATTTGAGCAAAGTCAAGACGATATTTTCAAACATTGCTCTAATTAACTAATTAGGCTTTTGTTGTAACGGTTTTGATCATCTTCTTGGCAGCATAATGGAATCAATATTTAAGACAACACAGAGGCTCATTAAACAAGTGAAACAAGTCAGAACCTGAATGATACACACTTCACTTCATCAGGTAATTTGGTATTTATTGTAAAGAACAAAATGTAAATGACAAATATTTTCTCTTCTCCAATACATTCATAGAATGTCACTAAACCCTCCACTTACTCACGTCTCCTCCACACAACATTCAGAACAGAAACATCTACACCAGTTTAACTAGCTGACAGCAGCACCGCGTTCTCTCTATTACCATAGCATCTGCTTTGTTTTATGTCTACTTCTCTTGGATTAATAAATTAAAGACAATGGTACGCATATAAAGCAAGATGCTCATTGGATTAATGATAATTTGCACTGCCCAGATTGTTATAAACTGTGCTGATTAGTATTCAAGTATTCCCTTACTGATTATTTCTGTGCTGGACATTATACTAAATATCTGCTTTATGATGTTCTCACCACATCATATCATCATCGTCATCTGTGGATTACATTATGTGGCACAGTACAAGAATAACGTTTAAGTAAACATTATGTACATGTACTAAGAAAAAGAAAACAACAAACAAAATTTGTCTTGAAAATGTATATGCTATTTTGTTTACAGTGCAATCTCCATGCAATACCACATGCAGTTATAGAGGGTGCATGAAGAAGAAGACCATATTGACCATGCATGACCTTGCATACAGAGCCACCGCTGATTCTACCAGATGTGGCCTGCTTTCCTGAAACCCCTGCATGATTTCAATTTAATTCCAGTGAAATATTAACAAACACCACATCCTGGCATTTAAGATGTGAGATAGTGATATCCACATGTAATGTAGATGACATCCACCCATAATCCGTTGTCAAGTCCATCCTGTTCCAAGCACACTGCCAGTGATTGATGGCATTACTGAAAGAAGTCTTTCACACTGTTTTACCGTGACGAACTAAACTGAGCCTCAACGTACAGTGACCGGCCACAGTGTGCAGGGATGGTTATGTGTACAGAATCGATCTGAACCATTAAATCATGGTTGCAAGTTGGCACTGTTGTATGCAAATGCTCATGGATTTTGAAAAAAGAAATATATATATAAAAAAAACAAAAAAAAACCCAAAAAACCAAACATCTTCACCATGAAGTAGTAATGGCTTAAGCACTGGCACGAATACATAAATCTTTGAAATTTTAAAACCATAACAAAACAAAAAGCACTAAAACAACCAGCCTTAACAAGCCTCTTGGTTTTACTTTTGAAACGGATCTATTACAAAGGCCAAACAATCATGTGAGACAGGCATCAGACAGGCAAAACACACAAGTAAAATCACTGAAAAATGACACATTTTTTTCAGTGCTGTGAGGAGTTGGGTGTAACAAAATATTCACTGTGCAATCATAAGTTGTTTAAAAAAGGCAACAAAATCAAATGCTGAACATAGCAAGGCGGATTTAAAAACTAGCAACCCCCGTTTCTGTTTCACAAAACATCTGACAGAAGCTTTTGATGTACAGCTCAAAAGATACATTTACAATGAAGATTCAAGTACGTGTCTCGTAAATCATCCGTGAATTACTTTGTTATCTGAACAAATGATACATTTGTCTTTAAAACTTCTGAACGGATTTGTTCTGGCGTTCTTGATGATCAACACGTCTGCGTTGTCAGTAGAATGACGCTTAAGAAAACAAGTAAAACGTCAATCTTCACAGCCTTTTCATAGATTCATGTCCACTGAAAACACATCCACTGTATCCATCTGATAAATAAATATGGGAGTGCACATTATGTTTGACAGCTGATTGGATTATGTAATATGAGGCAGAAGTTATGTGTATCACAATGCTCTAAAACAATTACAAAAAATGTCTGACGTGTACAAAATTATTACCAACTGAAACACTGATTATTGTCTTAACATTACATAAAACCCCAATCTGCAGAAACACATCCAATAATTTCAGTCAAATCAAATGAATGTACTCGAATCATTACTTACTTACTTTAATTTGCTGGCTAAAATGTCAAAATCCTTCATGGAAAAACACACATAGCAACATTTGCTGGCAAATCTTGCCTAGGGGTAAATTAAAGGGTTTGTGCCTAGAAAGATATCCTAAATAGGAAAGTGTGAATATTCTAAAAACCTAAGGTCAACACTTGATGCTGGAAAAAACAAGAAGAGTGTCAGAATCTTAATAACATCTCCCCTCTTAGCATAAATGAACATTTCAAAGCAGCTGCTCTTTGCAATCTGTGTTTTTAGGTTTGTCTACGATGTAGATTCCGAAGGTTAGTTTTACCCCTTAACATGCATTGCACAATGTGAAATAAATATAATGCAGGCTCCCACAAAACAGTGTCAACAACACATCTTTGTCAATGTGATATTTTTTCCATTCTGTGAATTATTGTACACACATTAAAACATGGGGATGTAAAAAGCTAATTGTTGCCTCAATGTTTCCTTAAGGAAAATGAATGTACTTGCATTGCTTACTGTCAGTGTGCAAACAGCACTGACATTCAGTTTCCCTTTAAGCATTTCTAAAGTACTCTGTACATCAGGTTCCCTTTCTTTAGAAACAGTTATGTTTAATCGTTTGTATCTTTTAAAACCTATTTGCCTTGACACCAGCAAGACAAAAGAAATAGACAACATACAGCGTACCGATGCCCGTTCAACCCTCCGTTATTTAAATTAACCATTCAAATGCAAATGAAACCAAGACTCACAATATGCCAATACACTTCTTTAAAAAAGGCTGGCTTTTTAAATGAACTTCTTAACTCAATGACAGTGGGTGAGCGACGAACGGATTTATCCATTCTTATGCTTCTCTGTGATTGCACTTGATGTAATCCCATCTCGTGTCAGTCAAGTCCCTGCAAATTAGGCTCAAGATTTACCAAGGATAAAAGAGATGCTTGACCTCTCTCTCCTCAAGAGGCATCTGACAATCTTTCTGAATCAATTTTTATGGCACTGACCACTAATGAGGAATCACTGAATGTTTTCAAGGTTACCTCAAATCTTTGCTTCATCATCAACCCTTATATTTCATCACTTTTATTCTGGGACTCAGGCAACAGTAATAATAATAATAATTAAAAAAACATTTTAAAGTTGTTTTGTTGAGCACTAAGTACGTAAAGAACGGTAAACTTTTTTGACAATTTGTAGTTGGGCAGTCCATTGTCCCGGGACGACCTCTTTTGTGTAGTGGTAAGAGAAAAAATAATTGGCCATGCACACAGAGTATTGCTAAGAGGTCATTTCATGGCTTATGGATGGCCAGCTAAATGGTCCATTGGTACATCTCAGTGACTGTGCCTGCTTTCCAAAAAAAACTACATTTCCCTTATTACATTCGGCCCTGTAATAGAATTCGTCCCAGGTGTTACAGGCAAGTGTCCAAGCTGCTACTCGCCCATGCACTGACAGTGACGTCATTTTGTCTCAGTTGTGGTCTTTTCTCACCACTGACACCCTGGTTCCCTTAATCCGTCTTCCCATTCTCCTGAGGTGTGCCGGCTTTGCTCTTGCGTGCCGAGCGCAGCACTCTGTAGCAGCCGCGGGCAATCTTATGCATCCACATAACGTTCATGATGTCCAAGCAGATACTGGAGCAGATCCAGGCTACGCGGCCACCCCAGGGCACCAGGTAGAAGGCCTCAGTGCCGTAGACCGCATACATACGACTGTAGTAGACTGGCATGACAGCGATGCGGACCATGAAAAAGACTACTGCCATGGCGACGCCATTCGCCATGTTGGGCCGGGAGGACTTGGGATACCCTAGTACCTCAAAGAACCAGCTGAAACACAACACGTTTAAGAAAACGGTGGCTAGCAGGATAAAGATGTAAATATGAAAATGTTTAAGACAATCACGAGTAACTAGACAGTTTGCAAAGACAGTTACATAAGAGAGGAGAACATGCAACAAGCAGTGGATTACCTTCACGTAGTTAAAATTACCAACAGTAATTACACATTCTGAGATATAATATCTAGAAATGTTGTGAATTGAGCTCCAAGCCTGACTTTAAAAGACCCAACGCCCAGGACATTAGTAAGCAGGTACGTACCGCTGGTTCACACATGGTGTAGAAAACTCAGCGAGCAGACGGAAGTTAGCAAAATAAGGCAACATTCCATGGCCCTAGAAGAACAAGGTAAGAACAGGAAGACAACGAAACATGAAAGGGACAAAAACAAGACACCGAGTCATTTGGATCAGCAGGCGTGAAGCTCATTTGCCACCTGCTCCTCAGACTAGCTAGGTAACTAAGGCATGTCTACAATTAGATTAAGTCCTCACCAAATATAGACCTATTTGGCAGATCTAACAAAAGAGCCCTCTCCTTCAGGGCACACAATTATTCCTCAAGTTTTACAGGCCAAAATTAGACTGGTCTTTAATTTGACTTCCTAATGATTCATTCTCTTCATTTATTGTGAGCAGAAACTCATCCTCACTATGAAATGAGCATACAGAACTGGTGACGTGCAAAATAACAGATTAACTACCCTTAGAACTTTTGATTACTTCTGTTTGCAAGGCAGAACCGGAACAGTATTAGATTTTAATTACACATTTGAAACATTTCTCTTTAAATCAAAAAAGGTTAATCCCCTAGGGAGCACAAATGTTTGATTATCAAAAATCTTGCATGTAACGTTGACATTTTTGCTTGAGTATGGCACTGTTGTCAAACATCGAAATGGTTAACCTTCTCAGTAGTAAAAAAAAAAGCCTGGATAGTAACGCCGAATGTAATGACAATGGCCAGTACCTCTAGGCGAAAGCACTACACAAGACGATCTGATGAGCAACACTGAGCTGGCTTCAAGTGAGACGATAAATGTTTTTTACTTATGTAATATATCAAAGTAAATTTGCATTTATTAAAATAATAATCACTCCCCCCAATTATTAAAAGTCATAATCACAAATGCATCCAACTGTATGCCAACTACTGCTTGCTCACATTTTGTCTTTTCATCCAGAGAGCAGAAAACCATACTGTAAAGACCATACAACAAGACAATTCATCGGAATGACATATGAACATTGAAAAGGTATTGAGCAAATATCAACACAGCACATGATTTGATACATATACCGTTCAACCATACATACATTTAGCCAGCCACTATTTAAAAAGGAGCAATCAAAGCCGTGCAGAGTAAAAAGCAATATGTTTAACTGCCAAACATATCATTGTTTCGAAGATCGGGGCCTGAATTCCACGTTGTCTTAGGCATAAGATCATCTTCAGCATGTTTTACCCACCTTGTAACTGAACCCAAAGGGTTCATTAGCGCTCAAAACTATTCCTAATGAAACTCACCATGTCTGGATTGATACCTGATCAGAATTCTAAAATGCCAATACAATGATTTCGACCTGGACAGAAGCCACCTTAGTGATAAAATAAGCATAAGTGGCTTTATTTCCAGTCGCTGTTAAATAGAATGAAGATGATCTTAAAACCAATAAGTTTTCAGGACACCCCATCTTATACACTGTTGACCTGGATGGTATCTTGGTAAATCAGCTGTAACCTTTGAACATCAAGCACTCAGACTGAAACCGTGTTAAAATTGCGCCATTAGCCAAATAAACTTGAATTAAATGTTCTCTGAAAAAGTGCGTTGCAGTGATTTGTATCCGCAATTAGTTTGAGTCTGAAATAGAATTTTGTGTTCAATCCCTCGCCATACAAATTCCGAACATAAGTCAAATTGAAAACTAAGATAAAAATCACAGCATTCAATTTCACTTAAATAACCGCAGATAACGTGTAAATACCGGCAGAACGATGCAATTCGAGGTTATTTGGCTTGTGGCATGACTTTTACAGCATGTAAAAGAAGACTTACCGTCAGGGCTGAAACAAAAGCTGGTCATTGAAGCATACTTACAATGTGATACAAACAGGGTACATCTGCATTTCAGTTTTTGTACCATATGATGTGAACTTTCTTCCTAGCATTAGGATGCTAGTACCTCTAGGAACTGGTAAGTCCATACTGTGACTGGGCATCATATCTGCTCAGTGCAACACAACAGCAATAGCAGCAGACAAGACAGGAATTAAGAAGTCCTCATCCAGATCAAGACCTGCTCTGGGTTTCTAAATGACACACAACCCTTTTGGTAGTTTTTGCATGAACGGGGATGACACAACCCGACTTGATGTTGGTAGTTTTTGCATGTTGGGTTTGAAGAGGGGCTTTTTATGTTAAAGTCAGCGGAGGACACAGAGACAGACAAACAAATATATTAGAACAAGAAAAAAACAAACTAAGAAGCAACACTTACAACACTGAGAAAAAAGCATGCATCTAATATTTACCTAACAGTTATTATATTATGTTTCCATCTTTTTTAATTAAGCTATATTTAACTGTTAAAAAACACACAAAAGACAGATTATGCTGCTATTTAAAGAAACAAATCATAAAAACTTGAACACGGTTTTGAGCAAGACATTAGTGACTAATCAAACATCAAAACATACCAACAACCTCATGAAATTAAGCCGATTTGTACATTTTAAAATACAGGTTTCCCAACTCTAAGTACATTTAATTAGGCTTTAATTTGGCTGTGTGCCTCAGGGTTTAATATTTGCATTGAGTAGGTAGAACTCATTCTGTATTTGACATGAATACTTCCACATAAAAACACTCAACACATTAACTAATAAGGAGACTGTGACATAACATATGACAAATTTGACTGGGTACAAAACTAAATAAAATGAAAATGACATCAAGGATCAGCCAAATTTTTTTTTTAATGTTTTTTTTTTTTACCACATTTGTAATATGGCTTCAGTAACGTGGCTTTCTGTTTTCTACCACAGTTGACTAATGAGGACCAATCATTCTGTTATCCCACATAAATTTCTGATCTAGTCAGAGGAAACAGTCATGAGTGTCCAGTAACAGTATGGCCTACTTCATCTCTTATACCTAACAGTTTTAGATACAGGTGCTTGCTCTGTTTCTCCAATTGAAAGGCTGGATTTACAGTTATAAATCATACTTTTATTCCAACAATGTGACACTGGTTTAATCTTATTATTATCGTTTAGACACACAAGAGTAATATTCCTCATTAACAATGCGATGAAGACAGACAAAAAAAATGGATGCATATATGATGTTGGTCACATTAAAGAAAAAAACAAAATCTGTAAATCCAGCCAGTGACTGGGGTGTAGATAGGGGTAAGATGTAAATCTGGACCGCAGGGTTTACAGTAAGTCCATAGTGCTTCACTGCTTTTTACCAAGATTGTATAACCATTTGCCCATGGCGATGCAAACCCAAAAGTATAGTACTAAGCAATGTAAAGCTTTTTTTAAAATCCAAGAACAGTTTAAATATGGGGAGTCGGAGGCAGAGCAATGCACACTGTAAGTACTTTTGCATTTTTCTCTATATACAAAATACGGAGCATGTACTGTAGGGGAAACACTTCCCTGTTTGCTTCACTAAAATATAATTCTGTACACATGACAGAATATATTTAACATGGTATTCGAAAAAAAGTGCCTGGCTATCTGGTGATGCACTTGGGGTCATGTGGATGACATTATTTGAGTGGCTTTGTCAGTTTTCCCTCATGTCTCAGGAGGAGTGTGAGGAAGAGAAAGAAGAGGCAGAACTAGGCTCTGGCACAAAAACAGACAGGTGGAAGTGTAGATAGGCAGGTAAGTAATTAAGAAAGTTCAATACTGTTTGTTGGCATGCACAGTAACAAGAAAGGAACCCTGTCTGTGTAGAAGGCTTCAGAACTGCCAGCATGCACACAGTGGTTACAGTAAGGCATTCAACTGCGCTAAGCTCAGAAATAGTTCAGCTTACGTCAGATTCACACAACATTAAAAGGGGGTCAGTAAAACAAACAGAAAGCACAGAAATTGTAAGGGCAAGGTGAGGGCGGAGGGGGTCATCAGCCAGTACCATCATTGAGCATTCCATGCAAAAAATACCATAGTCATTCATTTCCATAATAATTATCCACAGATCCTGGCGACCTAGAGGGTTTCAGATTGAACCAAGAGTGAACAGCAGTGCCCATAATAGCTGAGCACACTAAACCCATCTCCATATCTAGATAAGAGCCAACAGTATACTAAGTGTGCAGCAAGAACAAATGAGTCACTAATTAGTACTTTAGATGAATTGCGAAATCATCATCAGGTTAATGCCAATACCCACAGCGGATTTCACTAAAAATGATACAGAATGACGCTAATAGAGCCTCCACACCAAATAGCTGATTCGGTGCATTCCGAGGTTAGTTAGAGAGCTTTTACAGTGTAGCACTGAAGCCGTGAAACCAACTTGAAACGTGCGATTATCAATGATGTTACTGCGATCCTCACAAAACCACTCACACTGTTACTTTTTAAATCTGTTATTTCCAGACACACTAAAAAAATACAGTCACTTAATACTTACACATCTTACTAATGCCCTAACTGGCCAGGCAAACAATGACTCCTGCTGGAACGCACTATATCTCACGTACAAAAGTACACTTAGCACAGAGCACAGACACTGACTACGCTGACCTTGCCTTGTGCATATTTAACTAACCTATATGAGGTGCTTGGCTGCATGGGGACAGTCAAGGACACATACTGAATGCTGGCTAAATCAGATAAAAACACCCAGCTTGACAGGACACAGCTGTTCACCCTTGGTTGTCTCCTTCCCATCTTGCCTGCATGTTCTGCTATTGGACAATAGGGCACTCACCAGTACATAGTAGTAAGCATACAACGCTGCCAGATGGTGAACTACAAAAAACTTGTCGCCTATCGCCTTCCAATAGTAAAATATAAGCAGCAGATCTGAAACACAGAAGTACAGGGGAAAGAGAGATAACATGTTATTGGTGTAATCAAAACATTTAAAGTACATACAACTAATAAAGGCCAGTAGGGTCCAAACTTGTGTGAGTCAACTAAACAACAAGTTTAACACATCTTATTACCAATTACGTAGATGTTCTTCCAGTCTCACTTTAACAAACATTACCTGTGTAAACTGTGCTTCTCTTACCAGATATGAGGTAGCCTGTTGTGATGGCAACATTAGTCTTCACCAGTGTAGGATCTCCCCTGTTGAAAAAATACATTTGGTTTGACCGGGTTTGTGTGAATTTCCCTGAAAGTTCTCAGAAAAATCCCCACAGTGTGTGTAGGTGTTAAAAATGTCTGACTTTGGTGATTCCTAGTGATAATATCCAAAAACAAAACAGAGGTAGACAGCACTTAAACCACTTCTGAACACGCAGGGGATTTCACAGTTGTATCCAGCAGAGGTTGATATCACTTTAGAATCGAATTAATAACAAAATTTGCCAAAATTGGTCAAATTACAAATAAAATTATTATGTTTATGCATCATGGAAAACATATATAGAGCACAAGCTCTATGCTACTTGACACGCACACTTACACACGTAAAATCAATCATAGAGAGAGATCAGTGTTGCCAACTTGTGACTTTCTTGCCAGATTTAGTGACTTTTCTGACCCTCTTAATGACTTTATATCTAAAAAGGGACTAACAACAAGTCTATCAACCTATCACATATATATATATATTCAATATATTTAACTATATTATACTGCTCAGATGCTAATGAGTATTTGCAGCCTACAGATCTTATATCAACAGTGCCGGGGTCTCTCCCTCTCCTCTTGCGCTGTGTGTAAGTAGACTAGAGTGAATCAATGAAGTGATGCAGGTCACTGAAAGCAACGTTATTAAACTATATTCATTATGTAGAATGAAAAAAAAACTTCTATTAGGGACAGTGGTCATTAAGTCTGGGACAGTCGAAATAATTTTCAAAACGGTTGCAAACTGTTTTGATTGTGCTGGTCATTTGTGTTTAACTGTCTGAGTTTTGTCTCTTTTATGGTTAGTTTTAGGGAGGCTGTACAAAGGAGGGCTGTGTGGTATAATGATCCACTAGTTTAATTTTAATGCAATTGTAGCCTAAATGTGTTTTGTAAACATACACCAGCCTCCTTGTATACCTAGAACCCCATGCACTTCATACTATACCTTTGGCTGCTAAGCTATGACTGGAAAATCTGGCCTTTTGTGAAAAAAATTGGACATACGGTGAAATTTAAATTTAAATTAACCAAAAGTATGGAAAGTAAAGGTTAAAAACATCCGATTCACAGCCAAACTCTCACCAGACTGGGTCTTCATTGACGGCATCATCAAACCACAAGATGTGGAGACAGAAGATTCCCACCAACAGTGCATGAAACGTTGACACCGTCCTGAAATAAACAACAACAAAACAACACAGCCATGATGACCTAGTCCTGTCTGACAAGGACAGATGCTAACACGTCAGAGATTTTCTGTTCAATAAGCTTGCTAAAAGTAATAGTGAATATTTATCTTTATTCATGGAAAGTGCCTTGGAGCTGCTCTCTGGTTTACGGTACTGCATTTTTTTAGGATGCACAGTGAATCAACTGATTGCCTGTCAGGGCTGCACACAGATTCAGACCAATTAGACTAAGAGATTAAACACTGCTGAAGGGTCAGGCAGAGCAACACACAGTCCCAGGCAGTCATTAACGCAGCGAGACAGTCCAACAGTTCTCAGCAATCAGTCAATAAGACAGAATGACAGCCACACTGACTGTAAGTCTGTTGAAATAGAATCTGTAAAGTCATGGGCTTCAGCGTGGATCCCTGTAGCCTAGATCCATCTCCACCAATCATTAATTTTCATTTGCTCATAAACCATGTGACCATTTCAATTTCACAAGTGCTCTCATGAGCAATAAACTGAGTATGAGAGAAAATGAAAATGAATGATTAATGCAAGTTGGACCAGGCAGGATTTCTCCGAACACTCTTCCCTGCTGGATGTCCAATGGCCTTCAGTCAACGGTAGAGCTTTCACCGATCTCACAGCAGCATGTCTGTCTCGCTCAGGATACAAACACACTCCCATCTTTTTCTTCCGATCTAGTTGTTCTAGCCTGAATCTGCAATGTTCCTATAACAAGTTCGCAGATGACAACAGATGACATGTCGTCGTCTGATCAAATGTTCCAGTCATCAGTGTGAACACCCTGGCCCTGAAGCATTCCTACTTCATTGTCTATTCATTTTGACTGATGAACTGCAAATATAAAATAGTTCTATTGATTAAATGTGACAACGATGATCTGACTGTTAGAGGTAGATCTTCATAGTATATTTAGCATTTTATGCACTACATTGAAGTTATTCCTTCAATTTGAGGAATGTGGCAACACTGCTAAATATCTACAGTGGAGTCCATTAGCACAAGAAACATAAGCAGACAACTATTGTAACAATGGTAGGTCAAAGTTAAAACAGGAGGGATCTGTTCAGAATGTAATGGACATTTATAGTGGGTGGTTTGGGTAAAAACCTCAATATTTACTGTGTTACTTCCAAACTGAAAAGCAGTGTTGCACATTCCTTTGTGCAGGAAATGTGTGCATGTGTAAAATTTTTCACACTTTGGCCACAATCAGTGGAGAAGAGCATATGAGGAAGAGAGCAAGTTAAATGAATCACTACTGCTACAGAATTATAACATGGAAATCTGATGGATTACAACTTTAAACTGGACATTTGTTTAATGCTATTCTGACTGCTTGTGCTGTATGCACTAATGATGTCAGAAATGTAACTGGTGAGTAAAGTGTTAGCATACCCAGGAATGATGAGGAGCTGTTGTAAAAAAAAAAGAAACTTTTTTTGTCTTTGAAAAGGCACAGAAACACGGAGGGAAACAGTTTTGCATGAAAAATTCCATGATTTTCTATGCTTTACAATCTCTAACTGAACTAAACTAAACTAAACAAGGTTTAAGCAATGTGTAACTGTGCCATTTTATTAATAATTGATGAAGTTAAATTGACAAAATGCATAGGCAAAAAAAAAAAAAAACACCATTCCGTTGAGTTCCCAACATGCTGCCAGCACCTTGAAACTGTGGCATGAAGAGCAAACATTGTCAAATACACGGTGCATCCCACTAGTGAATCAGATACTAGTGTCACAGGAAATATGTGGGCTGACTGTCAGTGTGTATCTTTGGACCCAGCTGAAACAAATCCCCTCTGGCCAACATCTGATCTCTGCCATACATAGCATGTAGATAGTCAGACTCATCATGATCGAAAGTTTACGTCAGGTCACCTTGAGTTCCATTCCACCTTCTGCTTGTCACTGAGGCCGAGGAAGCCGGGGCTGATGCGTGTGGACATCCAGGGGCTCACTTTGTGGAAGAGCCACTGGAAGGTGAAGAAACTGGTCACCGAGATGGTGAGGATAAGCTGGCTGAATGGGTCCATGGCCACCCAACCCCACTGTGGGAGGATGGAGAGAAAGAGGGTAAAGGTTAGAAAGAAGTTCATGTTCTGTTGTTTCATTACAACATTCTGCAAACAAGAACATATCCAACAAGATTCTGTGGGTATTAGTGACTGTGTTTTCCTCTATGGATTCAAATGCCCACAGAGGGACAAAGAAATGTAGTTGTGATGGCTTTCTCCACAAAAAAATGTATCGCTGTATATAAAATGTAGAAAATTCAACATATAAAAAGAGAAGATTCACAAATGTATTCCTGATGCACACACAAATACGTCTGCTGTTACGTGTACACTGTGTAGAGACTGTTGAACCTGCATTTACAAACTGCTTTTCACGTCTTCATTGCGTTTGTGTGTGGGTTTGAGACTTCCTGCCACGGCTCGATTCACAATTTTTTCAGCCAATCACATAAACACGAGGATTCCATGTTCCTTTGGTATCACTGGACACTTTGAGGTCAGCAAAAACCAAAGCAGCTATTGTCTCTGGTATTTGGTGACCTTTGACAAAAACAATTACAAAAAAAAACCTTGCTAGTAAGGGTCGTCACTTTTTAAGTCAACTCTTGCCTGAAGTGAGCTGCCACTGGCCTTAACCTGAAAAGGTGGATTTAACCTCAGGCAAAGTGTAGTTTATGACCAGCTATAAAATATATTTAGACAATTACTTAGCTCATTCAGTGTTTTACCTCCTGGGTTTATGCTACAGAGGAAGTGTGGCTCTTCTTCAGACACAAGACGAAAATGAAAAGTATGAATATGCGTGCTGAAACCACTCAACTGGTTTCAGCATGCATATTCATACTTTTCATGCACGCGCACGCACGCGCGCGCGC